ATATTTTATCGATTGTAAAACTCTCAGTAGATCAATTTTTTTTTTAATTGGTATAGTATTATAAGTAGTTAGTAACATTGTCAATAGAGATACAATGAAAAGAAAAAATAATTGTTTCAGTAAAGGTGACGATCATCTAAGTGTGAAAAGGATTGAAAAAGAAAATACTTGTTGAAACAGTAACTTACTAAGAAAAAATAAGAATAGGATACACACAAAAAAAATATTGTAAATAACAGAAACGTTTATATCAAAACATAAATGTATTTCAATCGTACGAAACAAAAAAAATGTTATTAAAATCAACCGATAAACGAGATTATATCATGTAAAGCCAATTCAATGTACAAATTTATTATAAATTTTAGCCAAACTAAAACATAATGGGAATTAGTTAGTTTTTTTACTCTGGTAAAATCTGTTAAAATATCAACTATGTGGAGGTGGGGCATAAGGAGCACTCTAACTTCATTTGGAGATTGTAAGGCGTGTACGTAGAGTAACTAAGTAAAAAATTTCTATTGTTTAGAAAAATTATCCAGAAAATCGTTATCAGGCTATGAGAAATACTATTTTGGTTATGTAACTCTTAAAAAAAATAATATTGAAACTTACTTATTTGATATGCTGTGCCCCAGGGTATGGCATAAAATATTCAATGGGAGGGCAGGTATGGCATGACGATTATGACTGTAATTAAAACTGACAGAAACGAAAAACAAAACGGTATAAAATCAAGCAAGAAAATTAGTTGAATCACACTTAATTGACCTAATTTTTTTTCTTATACTTGAAAATTTCTCCAACGGACTTGATTATTCCGACTAAAAACAAATAACTAAACTTTTTTATTTTATGAACTATCTAGTATAGTTTTTAGCCATTGAAATGCTTTCTATGATAGTGTTTTTTTCATATTCTTAAAAAATAATGTATCTTGGATTATTATTATAGTTTTGATTTGATGGTTTGCAATCTTTTGTGACTTACGTAATTATTAGACTATTTTGAATTTCCATTATAGGACTTTAATTATTACACTAATCTATTAACTACTTTTAAAAACTAATTAAACTATTACTGATTAAAAACTATGGCAAGTATTTGATCAGTAGTTATTTTACGATCGATTAAGGTAGTCCAAGCCGTAGGCCATTCCCCTCTCCGCATCAAAGCTCCAGAGTTTGTGAGCGGCTTGCCGCACCGCCGCATCCACGAATAATAGCCAGTTTTTGGCATCGATTTTTGCGTACTTTTAGAGTTTCGAACGGAACTACGTTTTGGTAGGTTATAAAATATTTCTCGACGAGTATAATGCCGTTTAAAAAATGGCAATATGTTAAAAAACCAGCCACGTCCAACTTTTTTGCGGAGAGACCATTTTTTGATTCTTGCAGCGGTTTGCAAAAAGTTTACAATCGATATTCTTAAAATTTAGAGCTTATATCAAGGGGCACAAGATCTACATTATATTCAATTTTTAAGTCTTAATATTTAAATAAATGTGAGTTATAGATTTAAAAAAAATGCTCCAAAAGAGCACTTTTTGGAAAATTACGAAAAAACGGCTGGGCCAATTTTATTACCCTGAAGCTCATTTTCCCTGTCTTGAAGTTTTGCATCTTTTTCAGCAGTACAACTTTTTTGTCCGACTCTTCAGTTTTTTTTCTAGACGCGAAAAACCATTTTTGACCACATTTACCATTTTTTTTGTGCTGTTAGCTGACACAATTTGAAATCCAAAACTATTTAAGTTTGTTCAGAAACCGAATAACTACCACCATGATTTTTTTCGCGCTAATAGCTATTTAATTTTTCAAAAATCTAATTCTATCTTACTACTATTCGAGAGTTCAGAAATAACTGGAGCAATTACAACAATACCTTAAAAAATATTCATCTACGGGCTTTTATCCTAGCAAAATAATAAATACGTACACATGTGTACAAAGCCTTTTCCCACGGTACCTTAGAAGGTATAAGGAGCTTCCCAAATAATCGCAAGTCGACGCAAAATCGATGAAACGCAGGTTGTACACATAAATAAATTTTACAGCCCACTTGAAACCAATAGGTACCTACATCTATTAATCTTCTAGAAAAATGCCGCTACAAAAGAGGCCCGTTCTCGCACACCGGTAGTTTTAGGATTCTGCCGATAATAGCGCGCCGTTAATTATACACGGGAGTAACGAACCCACGCGGAACAAAGTACCCCCAACAACATCGACGGTGCAACAATAGGTGGAGTGTGTTCCTTTCGCCAAGTCGCCCGTGCAATTATCGCGCTATTATCCTTGTAGGTACTCCAGAAGCAACTTTCTAGCCCATCAGCCTGCTACCGCTTTCTATACGACTGTGCACATATACTGCTAAGGCAGATAAGCGACAAAAATCGTAAATTAGGCGGAATCGATACCCATCTGTTTGCCGCGTGGCTGTATATTATATTCCGCCTCGTTGGTGCACATTGGGGCGCAATTTATGCTTTCGTGGGCTGATATTACGGTCGTAGCGAATGACCAAAGTATCAAAAATATTCAGTCTATCGTATCGAGACCACGCCCGTTGATCGCGTACCCCGCGGAGATGCCAGGTGGTGCAACATTTTCGATTCCAAATCCAGAGCCGATCAGATGTATGAACGTATTATTTGGAAATTTAGAAACCACCGTCATGTCATTCGGTGGGCTGATATATGCTGCTACGAGCCAGTGGAACAACAGAATCGAGCACGTGCGTAAATACGTATTTACTGCGGTTACAGGCATGGAATATATTTGATGTCAACCATTGAAACGCATAGCTGTATCGATGGAACTTTTCGATATGAGTTACAAGACGATAATTATAGTGCCGTCACAAAACATCCCCAATAATAGCGCATAAAGTATATCAAACACTTTGGATAAAAGGTTGCAAAAAAACTGTTAAAACGTTGAAAATGTCCGCTATGCTTTTTGTTGCACATGTAAAATACTTTTAGACTCTTCATATTCATTTACGTGTAGCGGGTGTCTTACTCTAGTTCTACCGTCAAGATGTTATCCTTATATTGGGATACTAAGCTGGTATACTGTATTCATGGTATTCAATCTTGAAAGATTGGTTGTCACGTGACTGTGGACTATTTATTCGTTAGGGTGAGATTAGTTCGGACAGGTCACGTAATCAATTTGATTTTAAAACAAAATTGAAACTTGAGTTGTATACACGTTACGATATGTCTTTCTCAAACGTTTTGACCTGATGTTGGTCAAACTGACAAAGTAAGTCCTTAAAAGTGGATACACGCACAATGAGTAACCTAACGTCATGGCATTGAAATAAGACTGACGAACCAACACTTTCCGATTCGCACGAGATCTGTAAATCATCAGGTTAAAACACCTTGTCGTGGCTGACATGCAGGAATAATGCCACAAATGACACCGATACCAAATGGTATCAGCCCACAAGCTTCTCTCCAATGCCATTTAATAAACGCCCTCGGAAAAAAAAACCAACGCCACGTGCGATATTCTCCCAAAGCTTGTACACGCCCACGTAAAACTTTTCTCCTGGGTAGCGAAAAAAAAATGGTACAGGCATCCATAATCCAATGCCGATACACAGCAATTACCGATTCAGCTTACGTAAAGCTCGCGAAGCCTTGTAACGGTCGTACTTGTCGTAACGGGTTTGTATACACGGTGAAAACACTACACGTTTTCGCACTTGCGTGAGCAGAATATCGAAAAAGCCGGACGCCGGAGGAACAACGGGCACTTTGACCGTATAAACCAGACTCGCGAGCGATGAAACGAAAGTCCAGGAAAATAAATCAACTTTTCGGACGTAACTCATCTCTGCCGAGGGAAAGTCTAGCATCAATCATCTTTCGTCGCACAATGCGTTCGTACGCTTATTTTCCAGAAAATCTCTTCTTGAAACGGACGTATACGATGTACACTCGCTCTCCAAGTTACAATGCTCGGACGGACGATTCGACGGAGTTCCAAATTGCAATTAAGTCGATGTGTACGTGTATGAATATATCTTCCTACGATTGTTATGTGAATATATGTTTTGCTTGCCTTTCAGTGCCCGACGCGGAAAAGCGTGGTGAATTTGAGATACAGAGTTTTGCAACCAATTCTTTTGAAAGTTAAATGTAAGACTCGGTCGGTTTGTATGTTTATTGTCACATTCATCAAACTAATAAGCGGAAAACGCGTTTCCTGAACAAACACCTCGTAAATCATCCGCGAAAAATAGCATGTGGGGGCAGAAAACTGCTATTTGGAAATAAATCTTGTTGTTATCGTTACTTTATTGCTTGGAGTTTAATTTGCAATAATAGATCAAATTGGCATTGAT